AGTGACCTACGATGACGGCGGAAAGAAAGTTGTGGATAAAAGTGCAACCGTGTGCAAGCATTGTGCAACACCTTTTGTTTATGCTAACAGCAACATGACCAACATGTCATGCTAACCCCGAAATCCCTCATACTCTGTCAGCTTCACTGCGCTCCAGACTGCCTGCGCAAAGCAAAGCCTACAGCCTCCACTGTGGCTCCCATCCGCTCCTAACATTGAAGATGCTGCATTCAACAGCTATTACATTCTTCATGAAGTGGCTCCACACCTGACTGTTCCCCTCTGTCTGTGAATAAATATATATACATTTAGTGTATTTTGCAGTAGTGAAAACACACTGGCTAATGGTAGGTGTTTAGTATCTGATTAATTTTTAAGACTCATTAACAAAAACACCTCAGAAATATAAGTGTCATATTTATAAGCAACTGAAAATATAAAACTTGTGTGCTCTCCTTGATGCGCCCTAACGGCGTGTTTCCATAAGGATGTTTGTTGTCATCGTGCACTGATGTGTAGTATTGCAAAATCACAGCTTACCATGGAATAAACTCCTCACCGTCTCCCTCTCCACCTCCAGTACAAGTACACATAGTGTGAAACGGCCTAAGAATGCACTGTTTACATTCAAAGATGTTAATGAGGTCAGCTAGGTTGGTGCAATTTTTTTTTTTTTTTATTATAAATTGTAGCGACTTTCAGATAATTGGTAGATAAAAAATAAAAATATCTGGATGAGCTACCCACCGAGCTCTACATTATATTTAATATGAGCTCATAATGGTGCGTCGCATCAGTGTATTATATTTAGAAGTTTTCTGACTCTCTATTGTTGCTTCCTTACATCACCCTAAAGGTTATAACCGGTTCTGATCGGTTCCTGATGCCCAATTATTGTCGGTGAAGAATGTTTACTGTTTATTCTGCTAATGTTTCTTTCTTTAACTAGAAATCTTTTTTTTTCATACCAGAAATTGGTGTTGACCAATAATCAGCTGACTACGTTACCAAGAGGCATCGGCCACCTCACCAACCTGACTCACCTTGGATTGGGAGAGAACCTGCTGCAACACCTTCCTGAGGAGATCGGTCAGTGTTTTCCCATTACTAACAGAAAACACTTAAATATTTCAAATAACCCGTTGCCATGCTCTAAACTTCAGCGTTGCGTTGATTCATTATTCATTCTCAGATGGCTGTAAAGGTAAATGCTCTGTACTCATTTATCCAATTAAAGCCAAAACCAATCATCCTTGGTAATTGTCTTTTTGTCATTAAACCCCAAAACTAGTTTCGTAATGCTTGACTAATCCAACGCTTGTTTTATGTTCCTTTGAGAGTGTTTTGCCTTCAGACTTGTTTAGCTTCGAGGTTCTGACAATAACAATCACTGCCTCGTGTTCTTCCTCAGGCACACTGGAGAATCTGGAGGAACTGTACCTCAACGACAACCCCAACCTGCACAGCCTCCCGTTTGAGCTGGCCCTTTGCAGCAAGCTGTCCATCATGAGCATCGAGAACTGTCCCCTCACCCACCTGCCGGCCCAGATCGTTGCAGGTGGCCCGTCTTTCATCATCCAGTTCCTTAAGATGCAGGGACCTTACCGTGCCATGGTCTGAGCCAAGAGAAGCTTAGTGCCACTTCAAGCTCCACTCCAAACCCTCGGCTTTACTCTGCACCCCTTCGCCTGCCTGCCCTCCCATTATGTGTATCATACACTGTAAAGAAAACAGACTCGCTACAATCAGTGTTTTGGGTGGGGGGGCACCTAACAATAGGGGAGGGACACGCACAAGGATCGCGTTTTGTTCTCAGTACTCTGGCAGAAATGAAGGCAAACCCTTGGAGACTTCAGTGTTCCTCCAGAGTTGATCCCAGTCCTTCATGACCCCAGGCCACCGAAAAAACCCGCTCACTTTTCATTCCAAATCATAAAACGAGGCAAAGCCCTCCACGAGTTTGCCAAAACTGAAGATATTTAAAGTTTGATCAAGTGACTGTGGGCTCAGAGGGAAGTCCTCCAGCTTTTTAAACCATAATCCCATTGCCAATGTATTTACAGTAATTACAGCATCTATTATGTGAGCAAGGATACAATTGTATGCAAAAACACAAAAACAAGTCTTTGGGACTTCTCGTTTGCTGCTGCTGTAATTTTAAACTCTGTCATCTTATACCTTCTTTTTTTTTTTTTTTTACGTAATCTTTCCTCGTCATAACTTATGTTAACTGTTTGTGACCCTGAAGAACAAAGGTCTAATGTTTTGGTCTTTTTTTTTTTGGCTTTTAAATGTTTTTTTTCTTTTAAAACTGTGCCTATGTTTAGAGTGATCCGGTGGTTCATTTCTAAACACACTTCTCCATGAAATACAAAGACGTAAATTATTTCAATTGTTTTTATTACTGTTTTCACTTTTTTTTTTTTTTTTTAAGTGTACCTGTTGCATCATTCTGTCATGCAAGTGATATCAGTTGTAAAATACGGAGAACCTTTTTAACAAATAGCAGCAGTAGGTGTTAGCATTGAGCTAGTCTTGTATACATATGATAAATGCCAATCATACATGTCTGTGGAGGACAGATGGGGGTGACTTGGACTTTTTGTTGCCCCAAAAAGGAGTGAGCGAGGCGGCCTCTGCCTGGTATTGGGACGGGGTCATGAAACATACCTAGGTGATGAGATAAACGATAGATGTTTTATACATTTATACAATTTCTGGTTGTTGCCTTGGGTGCAATTTTAGTTATGTTTACTTGTTTGATATTATCTCCAGTGTTGGACTTCATTGCCGTCATCCAGTTGTTCATTGACCTACATATCGAGCATTATTAAAGTATATTTCTGAGTCTATGGAGCAAGTTGGTGAGTGTCGGCGCTTCGCAAAGATTTGATAATAAAAATTTTGACGGGTAACTCATCCGTGACACTTTATTTTTTCTTTACAACTTCCAGTTATTCTCCTCTGTTTAACTGAGTGTAAATTATCCCAAACACACAACTGATGGTATACTCCTTTAAAATTTATATCTGTTTATGATTTTTTTTAAAAGATATCATCTGTGCCACACTGTCCCAGCAATGCTGCTGCATTCATGCACTTTTTAAGATACTGGCATCTTTTCTCCTGAGGTGGGCACATAAAAGCCCCTCTATTTAACCTTGGGGGCATTTCTAAGTTGTTTTTTTTCTTCCTTTTTAATGGCAAATTCTGTAAATTTGTATCACTTGAATATACTTGAGTTTGGCAGTTTCAGAATTTAAAATCAACTTTGGTGGAAATTTAATCTTGTCAATTATTAAAGGAGCTTTGCTGTTTCTGGCTTTAAAAATGTTTTTAAAACTCCCATGTCCTGCTTTATCCATTGCTTGAAAAAATGGCTTGCATTTAAAAGGAGCAATGTTGATTATAAATACACTTTCATTAAGGTTTTTTTTTTGTTTGTTTCTTAATGATTAAATGTATATTGAGTATTTTTTTCCAAGTGACTGTACATTAAAACGCCCTTATAAAAGGTCATTATTTGGATATGTTTTTCTCCCTGTTCCAGTCAGCCTGGTTTCATGTTGTAAGGTTTGCTTTCCTTGCAGCAGCTCGCTGTTTCATCGGCCCAGCTGTGAAACAAGCTCATCAAGAGGGTGCGTCTGTGGGAAGAAATCGAACAATGAGCTGCTTCTAATTTACCAGCAGAACCTGTTGCTGCTTTTCTTTGACTCAAACATATGACAGAGGAGACGGGACAAAAGCTCCACTCCCAGATTCTTTCACCTGGCGACCTACAGAGGACTTCTGTTTTTTTTTTTTAAGTCGGGCCTCTGTGGGTTAAACAGATCAAATTGTTCGGACATGAAGCAACACAACAAAGGTGCATATTTGAGCTCAAACGCAGTTCTAGTACAAGACTGTCGGGGAAAAAAAGACAGATCAGTTATAAAAAGGGCTTTCTGTGTTCACGCTCAACAACACCAGAGGCATTGCATTCCTGGGTTTTATATAAAAGCTTTGGGAGTTTCTTCTCTTATTGTGTGTAATTACTTTAAACTGTGGAAAGAGATGCCTTCAAGTACTCGACAGTGACGTGCATTAGGTATGCAGCGTGTGTGCTGTGACCCAGTTTTTTCATTCTCCAACTTATCCAGTTTGTTTTCCTTTTTACCCTTTGTTTTAAAATATTTTTTCACATGCCAAGTTGATACATGTTGAAGGACAACGAAAGAAGACTCAGGACGGCTGGAGAGGAATGGGATCGATACACCAGAGAGAATTAGTCTGATGGTAGAATGTAGTTTTCTCCTTATTCAGGGGCTCAGCTGAAGTGATTTCGATTGTTTCCATGTTTGTGTTTCAGTCAGTCAGCTCACTCTGTTTATTTTTTAATTTTTTTGTTCGGTACCTGCATTTTACAATTTCCCCTTTCCTGACCTGGAACCTGCCTTCAGGCAACAAGCATATTGGACCCCTTCCCCTGGCATGGTCTGGATCAGAATCAGAACCTGTTGATTAGAGATTCTTAGTGGCTTTTTGATGTACCGGCAAAATGCTCCCTTTTTGTATATAAAGGGTTTCCAAACATTGTGCCAATGCTTTTCCTACTTATTCTACATTGACGAGCAGCCTTAATGGTCTTTTTTTATGTGTTTGGCTAATTCTTGTGTCTATGGCCACTGACTGTACTTGATGACAAGCAACTGGACGTTAACAATGTAATTTTGACTAGTTTTCCTCTCTTATTTTTGTTTTTCTTTTACTCTGTACAGTAACCTGTAAACTCGGTATTACAAAATCTGTTATGTGAAGAGTTTTATAAGAAGACAAAGACTGCATTGGAAGATAATGCCAATATGTTACAAGGTGGATGTGCATTAAGCTTATGTTTCACATGTCTGTGGCATTAAAGGGGAATTCCACCAAAACTGACTTGAATTGTTTTCTAAGGGGAGACCTTTTTTAAAATCATAAACGTATCTCATGATAATTTGAATACTCAAAACTATTAACATGTGTTTAAAGTTTATACTACAGTTTCAAACTTGATCTCAATATTTAGGAAAATATTCATAACTAGGTACCATAGGGATAAAAAATGACAAATGAATTGTTTTTTTTTTGTTTTTTTTACATTAAAACAAATTATAGCTAAACTACAAAATTACCGCAATTTGACAATTTACAGCTGTCTTAAAAAGTGTTCTTTTAATCTGCAAATAATGCAGGAATCTAAGAGTAACTTTAGCAAAAATATGCAAACAATGCTTGAATATATCGCCTTTCAAAAATAGTATTACATCTGGATACTTTTTTCAGAGTACTGATATTTTTGACAACCCTAGTTAGTTGTTTAAAGCAGTGTTTTAATTATCACACTGACAATAAGGTTTCCAATTACAGCCATCCTGACATTTTTGTGAAATAAGGGAATTATTTTTCCTCTGGTACTGCATGTTTCACATTCTAGATTTTTCTTCTGCGGTACAGATAAGGTCTGGGGAAAAAAAACATAAAAAAATAATAATAAATCCTTAAGTTTGAGTTCACCAAAATCCAATATGGCTGTCGCATTAAAACCAGGGAGTGACTATTTGTATGATTGCCAGCTTTTATCTCGTTCATTCTTTCGTGCAGAAGGTACGGAAGAGGATTGGGGCCACTGAAAAAATTAAAAACGTTACCGTAACTGATTTTTTAAATTTTATTTCAGTATAAATGGAGAAAAAAGTCAGAATTCTGATTTTCATCTCAAAATTCTGACTTTTTTCTCAGAATTCTGACTTTTTTCCCAGAATTCAGACTTTAATCTCAGAATTCTTACTTTTTTTCTCAGAATTCTGACTTTAATCTCAGAATTCTGACTTTTTTCTCAGAATTCTGACTATAATCTCAGAATTCTTACTTTTTTTCTCAGAATTCTGAATTTAATCTCAGGATTCTGACTGTTTGTAACAAACATGTTAGCATCAAGCCGTAGCCATGTCTGTTTTAGAGACTGACAGCTAACAAACATGTTAGCATCAAGCCGTAGCCATGTCTGTTTTAGAGACTAAACTAGCTTGTTTTAATCACCTTCTGCTCTTCCATTAATGAAATATCATCATCGAGGACCCCTCTGGCATGTAAAAAGTCGCCTAGTTCCATCATTTTCCACCAATGTGTCACTGGCCCTCTCAAACAACTCACATCTTTGTCAGTGAAGCTGAGTGCTCCCACATCTCTTCCTTCATGGTGTCCATCTACATTTAGACCCAAAATTCTGAGAATAAAGTCAGAATTCTGAGAAAAAACTTATTTTTTAGTGGCCCTAATCCTGTTCCCTAAGAAGGTGTTGGGGAATCTATGTTTGTGAATTTTGATGCTTGAGTTAGTAAAATGTATAAAGATACTCTGGTTTTAGCTTATTTACCCAGTAGTATTTAGCATGTCATAAAACTTTGCATATGGGACAGGTTTGACTTATTATTACATGATTGGTTTACAATGCAGTTTTAGTTACACGTTTTACTCAAGCAGAAATCTACAAGGTGGACAAAAACTAGAAACCTCAGTAAGGGGGCCTCAGTGTTATCAGAAAGTGCATTCCCTATATGTGATGCAGATTCTGTACTTTTTTCTTCTAAATGTCACAGTTGATTGTGTTTGCTTATTTAATGTGATAAGTGACAAAGTTCAAAAGATGTGACTGCTTTTGCTGAACGTCACAGATTAATTTTAAAAACAGTATTATCAATAAGTTCAGTGTTTTTGTACTTCATTTTAGATCTGGAAACACATATATAATTTATGTTTATTACACATAAGGGGAAACTAAGTCATTCTGTCTTTTGTTAAAAGTTTTAAGGACACCCCTGCTTTAAATGGTCTTCCAGTATGGGTGTGAAGGCTTCATTATCATGGGGAAGACTACTGACTTGAGGTCACGATAGTGACCAAAAAGATTCATGAAATGTTGAGTGCAATATAAATAGTGTGGTAGGAAAACATCCAGAATGTATGGACAAATCCTATCCTAAACTAAAATAAATCTCAGAACCATCTTACCTGGGCTATGGAGAAAACAAAGTCCTGTTTTATTTATAAAAGTGACATATATATGCACAATGCAGGGCAAAAAAGTAAATCCCTTTATTGTCCCATAGTGGGGAATTTCACTTTTGACCCATGGGGAGCAGCGTGGGGGGGAACACAGAGTGCAGGCTGTGGGGATTGAAACAGGTATTTGCAACCTTCTGAGAGCACAAGCACACTGTTTTAACCACCTGGCCAACACAAAGTTACTTGCTACACAAAGGTTGTGATCTATAAAAAACAAACTGGTGGTAAAATACTGCAACTCTTCATGGCAGCTCTGCAGCCCATGCTTATGCTAATTTTAAAGACACTGGCAACTGGTGATGTGGACGGTGAGGTGGGGAATCAAACCCAGACTGAATCATGAATCATCTCAGACACTCAATGTCAAACTTTTATCAAGTCTGACTCAATAATAAGCATTAAAAACTGCAGCAAATTGTAATATTACGCTTGTGAGCCCCAGGATTTTTACCAAATGAATACAGACAAATATGCCTTCTTCAAACTCTAATCAAAGACTTTACAATATTTAAAGTTTGTTTTTGTTTTTTTACTTTTGCAATCCTCTCCTGATCATGGGCAGTTCTAGACAGGGACCAGTGTTGCTGTAGAACTGGATCTGGACCCTTCTGTGGTCTCTGTACTGAAATGCTAAATCAATTGTTATGAGGATTGGTTCTAAGGAGACTATATTTATTTGCCTTTTGGACCTATTTAATATTAAACCTCTAGTCTACTTTAGCAATAATGTAGAAATTAAAGTGTATCATATTAAGCCTCAGCTGTATTATATGTTCAACTGTTAGATCAGGGGTCTACAAACCTTTGCTTTATGGCTCACTTCTAGGAAATGATGTGTTATTGTCCCATTTTGTTTAGGTTTTTGTTATGTGCCACCACTGTACTCTGCTCCTGATGATCACCAGATGAGTCACGCCACAGATTAGCACTTTAATTGTAGCCAGGTGTGAGGCAATCACATTGACACTTGGCACAGCTGGATGACCTTGAAAATGGGAGAATTAGCAGGGAACTTGTTTTTAATGGATCACTAGGATTCCCTGGATCATGACGATGTCTGACTAAATATGCTGAATTAGATTCCTTAGAGCAATGGTTTTCAAACTCGTCCTCTGGACCCACTGCCCTGCCTGTATATGACCTTTTCCTACCTTTACTCACCCAACTTGCATTACTGTATTCTCTTTCCCACTGGAATCCAATTATTGCGTTAACCCGGGTTTTTCAAACATGGGTCAATGGACATCTGGCTTCTTTCCCATTGGCAAAAAAGCTGGGTCACACCACTCGTTGCGTGTCATCACTAAGTTAGCGTTGATGATGTCAGGAGTGCAACAGAAATCAGGAAAGTAAACAATGGAGAGCAACATGAAAGGAAGCCAGGGTGTAGCAGTGTGCTTTATTGTTTCGTTCTTTTATCGGTCCGAATCCCTCTCAACAGTGCTGCACCGTGTTTACTGAATGTCGACTGGCGTGATGTGTTGATGTCCATACGTTGCGTTCAATGATGTCATGTAAATTAGCAGTTCAACCACGGTTTGATGTTCCCACTGAATGTTGACCAGAGTTGAGCTGGTTTTACCACGCATCGCTTGCCGAGTCGTTTGACCCAGTTACCCATGCCTCAGTGAGCTCTCCCCATTGCCACTAAAAGCCGATTTTCACGGGTTTAACTGTTTTTTTTTCGTCCAGTGGGAAAGGGGTATAAGAGGTCCCTGCAGCATGGTGGACATCTTTAATTACTTTGGGGCACTAGTGAGGAGAGAGTTGCACAAGAGGTCAGTGGATGGATTAGTGCAGTTGCCACAGTAAATGGTATTCTGCTTTGGTCTGTTGTGGTGTGGAAAGAGGGCTGAGCCAAAACTGCAAAACCTTTGATTCACTGGTTACTCTACGTTTCTACCCGCTCATATGGTCAAAAAGTTTGGGTCATGGCCGAAAAAATGAGATCCCAAATGCAGGTGGCTAAAGTTAGCTTCTGCTGCACAGCGGCATCCAGTGAGGAGCTCGGTCATCCAGGAAGGGGTCAGAGTAGAGCTGCTGCTCGTTTATATCAAGAGGAGCCTCTGAGGCACGGACAAGGCCCACAAGATAAGACTAAGGCTGTCTATGTTTACTTTCCAGCAGATCATTTAGCATAGGAAGCTCCCAAAATTCCTTCCTTACCTATAAGGAATCCCACAATCTTTTGCGTGACAGGACACTAAGCACATGGAAATTAGCCAAGATACATTGCAGATACATACAGATACAAACCTTAATATATTTTTTGTTTGGTTAATGGAGAACTTTAAACATTAGTCATATTTGTGTAACTTGTATTTTCTTTTAGCCATTCTTCAAAAGGCTGTAGTTCCATTTTGATTAGGAAAATTCATAAGTGTCATGCAATAATATATAATGGCTACAGGATGCGCCGAATCATATTTTCTTTTTTTCTTTTTTTTTTGAGAGGAGGGCTTTGAAAGCACACACTTTTTCAGTATGGATCCTACAGAATATTTTATAAATAGGAAACGCGGACTGTTGCTAAGTCTTCCTTAAGATAAAGTGAAGTTTGTATTTATTTGGAAAACAAAGAGACACACAGAAGTCAGGTTGCTCACAGTCTTGTGTAAAGTTTACACATGCAATCATGGCTTTGGATAATATACGTTTGCTGGCATTGGTCAACTTTCTTGTTTTAAATCCAGAGTCAATCCAGCCACCTGCCAGGACATTTAACCCACTTCATGCATTCTTTTGCTGACGAGCTTTATGGAGATTTTAAATTTTCCAGTTGGACTTCCTGGCTGCACTTCCAAAGAAACAACCAGC